ATCTCCTCACACCAGGTCATTTTGATTTTCCTCTGGAAGTTAACTCAATGATTTATGCCAATTTTCGAGAATTTCATCATTGTCCAATTTAATTTGAGGAATGTCCAATTCAGAATCCTTTGAACTTGGTTCTTCACACAGTGTTGTAAGCAGTAACACATTGTCCTTTTGTTTTCCTCCCCTATCAAAATATCTTTTGAGCATATTCACATGACGCACTCTGAGAGATTTCTTTTTATCTGGTGTTCTGATTCACCTCATTCAATCTCCTTTTGATTTGATAAGGTCCACTAAACCTTGCTTTTAAAAGGTTCACCTACCACCGCAGGTAACACTAACACTATCTCCACTAGCAAAATTGCAAATTTTTGATTTCTTGTCTGCATCCTGTTTCATCACATGCTGTGCTATGTGTAAATACTGTCCAGCCAACTCACCCACTCTATTTAATCTTTCCCCAAAATTTGACACATAGTCCAAATGTGGTCTCTGAATTCTAACTCACTAATTTCTACTTAATTAATTTTAGTGGTCCTCTCACCGAATACCCAAAAACTAATTCAAATGGACTGAATTTGGTAGATTCATTTGGTGCATCCCCAATTGCAAAACGTACAAACAGAATTCCTTTATCCCAATCCTCTGGATAGTCTTGACTATAAGCCCTCAACCTGGTCTTTAAAGTTTGATGCTACCATTCTAACATTCCCTGCGATTCTAGATGGTACACAGTGGATTTGAATTGTTTTAGTCATAAGCTATCCATAATTTCTGAATAATTTTGATGTAAAATTTGACCCTTGATCTGACTGTACCTCTGTGGGTAGTCCATATCTACAATCTTTTTAGCTGTGATATTGTGTAATGGAATGGCCTCTGGCAATCAAATGGACACATCTATTATGGTCAACAAATACAGATTCCCGCTTTTTGTTTTAAGTAGGGGTCCTGTGCAATCAATTAAGACTCTTGTAAATGGTTGCTCAAATGTGGGAATGAGGATGAAAAGTGCTGGTTTTAATCGCTGCTTGAGATTTTTCAATTACCTGACATGTGTGACATGACTATCAAAACTCAACTTCAGCCTTATGCAGTCTAGGCCAGTAAAAATGTTTCTGTACTTTGGCTTGAGTTTTCCTTACTCCCATATGACCTCCTACTAGTAATTCATGTGCTACCCACAACACCTCTTTTCTATAACCCGTTGCTAATAAAACTTGATGAACGTCTGCCCATTTCTCATCTGCCTGAATATATTATGGTTTCCATGTCCTCCTCAGTAAATGGAGGCTGAATAAACAGAAAAATGAAAATCCCTTCTCTCACCTTCTGCATTTATTTCCCATTTGTGTGAGATCTCCTCTCTCCATCTTTCTCCAGCAACTAGCCTAATGATCTGCTTAAAAAGGACCAGTGGACTTCTGGCAACCGTTCACTGAGGACCACTATTGCTGCCACTAAATCACATCATAGACACAATTTTGGACCTTAACTGGCAGCTGCAGAATCCAAATGAAGGGAGCTAGCAACTGTAATGTCAGACCATTGTGCTTTATTATATTATTATATGCCATCATATACGACAGGCTCAACGCTCATAATTTAAGTTACAACTTAGTCAGCATGACACAAATTTTATTTTAATATCAAATAAATAGTAATGCTACCCCAAAAAAAAATGTTCTCAAAAGTCTGGAGTTAGCCCAACATCCTGCTGAAGGAAGTCACTTTCCATTAGAAGCCAGAGTCAAGCTCTGAAATGATTCATGAGGCCAGCATCTGCCTCTCATTTTAAAATCTATCTGCTGTACAAAATGGTTACACATTGTCCAGTTAAAAATGACACACCAACAACATTCTCAAATAAGTTATGCTTACATTATGGTTTTCTTTTCTTTCTTCACTCTTTTGTGGGATGTGAGCATCATTGGTAAAGCGAACATTTTGGCCCACTCCTTACCACCCCTGAACTGGGTGAATTACTCGGCCTTTTCAGTGGGCAGTTAACAGTCAACCACATTGCTGTGGGTCTGGGGCCACATTTAAATCAAATCGGTTACATGTGGGCAGGTTTCCTTCCCTAAGGAACATGAGCTAACCAGATGTACTTTCATGACAATCAATGATAGTCATCATAGTCATTATCATGAAGACTAGCTTGTCATTCCAGATTATTAGACATTATTATTAATTTAGAATCTATTCACAGCAATTTAATAATATTTTGTCAACTGCCACTGAAAATACTTACTGCTCCATCATTTGTCAGTGCTTCTTTAAGAGACTCCAAGTCATCAAATTCTACCTAACAAAAACCTAAAAAATGTTTAAATTCAATTTATACACCGTATTGATTGCCAACGTATGTATGTCAACACAACTGCCAAATCATTATTTCACGAATTAGAATCACACAAGTTACACAAAATAAATTCCACTTTTGCATAAAGTTGGTAAGTTATTCCCCTATTGGAGGTATCAAGGCTGACATCCATGCATGCACTGTCCATGGCAGGAGTAATTTGATAGCAATGCTAATTATTTTTACTGATACCTCAGTGAGGTTGAGGCCATTATCGGTATGCCTATTTTCACCATAACTAAGATCATCTGTCTCAGTTAGAACTAGAAATGTGAATTAGGATCTTTCCAGCTTTATATCTCAATGGTTCAGTTGGTAATTGCAGTGCTCAGATTAGACTAGTTTAAAATTCTGTGATCAGTTTCCTTAAAGACTCCATGAGAGCACTATTTAGTAATCAAATTAAACAGACCAGGGAACTAGGCTCAAGAATTGATTTTTGGTTTGTGGTAAGTTGGTTTTTTGCTATAATGATGTAAGATTTGTCAGCGGGCCGTGGATCTGGGCCATAGAGGGATTTGAAAATAAGCAGAGAATTTTAAAGATATGGTGTTGGTCATCAAGCACAGGAACATGGGTGAACAGGGCTTGGAGTAAGGACACAGATAGCAGAGTTTTGGATCATCTCAACTTTTAAGTGGATAACAATGTAGGAGATCAGCTAGAGATGCACGTTAATTGTATAAATAAAGGAAAAAAGAAAATCAGGTAGAATGCATTCAATATTTGAGCACATAAGCTGTCTCTTTACATGGCCATACTAATCCGAAAATGTCTGATCTCAAAAGCTAAGCAGACTCAGGTCTGGTTACTACTTGAATGGGAGACTGCTTAGAAATATTAGGTGTAGTAAGACAGTGGGCTCTTATGGCACAGTGGTAGTGTCCCTAAGTCCTGGGATTCCCTCTCTCAACATCACAGACAGTCCATCTGCTTTCTACCTTTTAGATGTTTCCTAAAACCTACGTTTTTCACCAAGCTTTTAGCTAGGAGGCCTGGGTTCTTGCCCCACCTGCTCCAGAGGCATATGATAACATCTCTCAATAGGTTGATTAGAAATATTCATATAGAACATAGAACAGTACAGCACAGTACAGGCCCAAGATGTTGTGCTGACCTATTATCCTACTAAGATCAATCCACCCTTCATTCCCTACATTTTACTATCCTCCATGTGCCTATCCAAGAGTCGCTTAAAAGTCTCTAAAAGACTTTAAAAGACTCCACTATCACTGCCGGCAGTGCATTCCACACGCCCACCACTCTCTGTGTGAAGAACCTACCTCTGACATCTCCCCGAAACCTTCCTCCAATCACCTTAACATTATGCCCCCTTGTAATAGTCACTTCCGGCCTGGGAAAAAGTCTCTGTCTATTCACTCTATCTATGCCTCTCATCATCTTGTACACCTCTATCAAGTCACCTCTCATCCTTCTTCGCTCCAATGAAAAAGCCATAGCTCCCTCAACCTTTCCTCATAAGATCTGTCCTCCAGTCCAGGCAGCATTCTGGTAAATCTCCTCCAGCGTCGTCTCTAAAGCTTCCACATCTCTCCTATTATGAGGTCACCAGAACTCATAATACAGAATTAGGGAAGTTGAAGTCACCATGACAACAACCCTATTACTTCTGCACCTTTCCAAAATCTGCCTCCCAATCTGTTCCTCAGTGTCTCTGTTGCTACTGGAGGGCTCTATAGAAAACTCCCAATAAAGTGACTGCTCCTTTCCTGTTTCTGACTTCCACCCATACTGACTCAGTGGACAAACCTTCCTCCATGACCTCCTTTTCAGCAGCTGTGATACCATCCCTGATTAGCAATGCCACTCTCCCACCTTTTTTACCTCCCTCCCTATTTCTTTTGAAACATCTATACCCCGGAACATCCAACAACATTCCTGTCCCTGTGTTATCCAAGTCTCTGTAATGGCCACATCATCGTAGTTCCAAGTACTGATCCATGCTCTAAGTTTGTCACCCTTATTCCTGACACTTCCTCTATTGAAGTAGACACACCTCAACCTGTCGCACTGACTGCCACTTTGCCCTAACAAGTGCTTCCCCTCAGACACTCATTGGTAACTAAAGTGTTGAGTAGAGTTAAGAACTATACCCTTGCAATGTTTCATTTGATGAATAAATCTAAAATGAGCATAGAATTATTTCTGGTCTCCTTTCTCACCAAATGGCTGCTAAAAGTTCAACAATGCATTGGAACAGTAAAATCTAATGTGAATCTAATAACATGAACAAGGGCTTTAGTAACAAATGAGCTAGCACAGGGCAAGTATGGATGAAGATACGGAGGTGTAAATGGGGGCTTTAGTGGTGACAGACATGAAATCTCATCTCACAATAAAATATGACGCAAGGTGCAAACAGTCTGATTTGTCTCAGTTTTCAGAGGAGAGAATAGACTCAATGCCAAGACAAAGTAGCTAAGAGTGCACGCTGAAGGCTACGGCTTCAACCTTCCCAATATTTCCTTTAAAAGAAATTCTGCCTATGCAGTACTGAACTTCAGATATGCAAATAATCAAATCATTTAGCAACAGTGGAGAAGTCGAGAGAGGTGTGTCAAGCTGGGTGGAGGGAAGGTGTGTTTTCAGCATATACAAAAAAAATTTTTACTTTCAGCTCATGTTGCCATTAGGCCGTACGTGGTTGACAAACCACGGTGTACAGGGGACAGCTGATGTAACAGTGCAGAAGCAGCTACAGAAGCCATTCTAAGTGAGATTCTCAAAATTGAACCACTCAGCTAGATGATAATGGGGAGGCATTAGTGAAGGAAGGTGTGGTTAACCATGTCACAAGCTTGCAGACAAATAAAGAAGAACAAGGAGGGATTTTTTTGCCTTTCAGAATTTTGTAGGATGACATTTGTGGCTTTAATTAAGGACAGTTTTGGTACTGTAGTGGCTGAACCCAATTACAGCAAATCAAACATGGAGTGCCAGAAAATTTGGGCATGGATTTGGAAAGTGACAACATCATCAAAGAGTTGGGAGAAGAAAGGCAGGTTGGAAATGTAGAGTAGTTTGCCAGGTTGTTGGGTTAAGGGTTGAGTTTTTTGAGCATTTAAACTCAAACTTTCGATTTTCGAGTTGAAAGTGAGGCAAGGTAAAAGAAAGAAAAAGAGGAGACATAGCTTGGTATTTTGAACTTATATCTGTAAATAAGTAGCAACTTTTATGATGGTAAAAAGAACTCAACTGTGAACTCATTGATGTTGACTAGAAATGAGAATTACATAACATATTGTGACAGTTATTGTGAATTGGGTGCATCTTCATGAGACAGAATCAAAAGAAAAATCTTCAAATAGCATTGAATTATATTCTAACGCTTCTCACTTACAGTACACTTACATATTCCTCAAGGCTGTTAAAGAGATTACTGAAATGTAATAAGATGCAGCACAGAAGCATGAAATGGGTTCAGTGTACATTTAGTGTACCAACTCAACAAATTTATCAGATTAGGGTTCTTTCTCCAGGCACAGATTGAAAAACGAATGGTGCAGTCAGATGCATAGAACATTCCAACTGAACGAGGAAACCAACACTGTACCATTTAAACTATGACAATAGACTGGAAAATGCACTTTGGAACCAACCCACACCAAAGTACAGGTTTCAAAGTCAAAGACTCTTCACAGTAAATTGTCCTAGACAATTAAGAAACTGTACCCATGATCGGAGTTCATAAATGCACACAAGTTTAATGCAACAAGCCTGGTTACATTCAAGTGTTTAACAGGCAAAAACTCCAGGTAAAGACCTTATTTTTTTAAAAAACTGTGATTCTGGAAATCTGAAATAAAACAAAGTTCTGGAATACAAACAAAATATTATGGAAATAGGTTAGGCAGTATCTGATGAGAAAGAGACAGAATTCCAGGTTAATGTCATTTCATCAAATCTGGAAAACATCAAACATGATAAGTTGTAAAGAAATAAAACAAAACCAGCATCGGAAAAGATGAAGAGAAAGCTTATGACAGGCTGGAAAACAGGAGAAGTTGAATGACAAAAAGGTTGGTCGTACAAGGACAAAGTGAAGAGTGATGGGTAAAAGAAATGCCTCCACAGAAAGATTCACTGGTATGGTTGGGAAGGGTTTAAAACAAATTGGTAGGAAGGGTTCGCTCCTGAATACAGGTGCAGAAACGAAGAATAAGGTGCATAAAGAAGCACAAGATGAACAGTACTAGAAAAGGAAGTAGTAACATATTACATAGGAGAAGACTAGGAAGAACTAAAAATGAAATACAAAAATAAGGTTGAACGCATATATGTAAATGCACAAAGTGTAGTAAAAGTAAGGCTTGTATGCAACATGCACCAACAGGTACATACCAATGGAAAAAATGGGGAACTAATGCAAGGCAAATGGAGTGTTGGCATTTATTGCAAGGTGGAAGAATAACATTTTCTTGTTTTCTATTTCAAAGAGCATTCAGTTTAAATAAAGAACATTAGATGTATGTTAAAAATTAGTGCTATAATAGATGTCTGAAATTTGACATGCAGTTTCTTGCATATCATGTGCTTCTCAAAGTGCCAGCATTGTGGAATTTTCACTGAGATAATGATCATTCAGTTATCACATTCATTTGGTGATTTATCCTGCATAAAAAGAACAAAGAATTAACTGTAATTGGAAGAGGTTCAAATAACAAGAACTTGTGCTGGAGAAACATGCACAGCTTCTTTCCGCATATGAAGTGGCAGTTTTGAGAGTTTTTAAATCAGTTTCAATGGTCTGGTGATGAAATATGGTGTCAGTACAAGTAACCGTGCAGTGGCCATGTAAGAAACCAACTGATTTACAGATATCTTTCAGGGTTGAGAACAGGCTGCCCTTATCTGGTCTGTCCTATATGTGACTACAGTCCCTCAATGTGATTGATTCTTAACTATGTCTTAACCAGTAATCACACACTCCTAGGAAAGCTCTTAGTCCTGGATCCTGTGTTCAAACAGATGGGACTTAATAAAATCTTTAACATATGCAGGGAAGCATATACAGATTTGCATCGAGCTGATTTTAATTCATGTTACAGACAAGAAAGAAATTTAATTTTTTTTTGTTTTGTTCTTCTGTCCGTAACACAGCTGATTTTTAATTTTTGCTTTCTTATTTTACTTACTGTCTTTCTGAAATAGGTGATTTGCTCCCCAAACTCCATTTGAGAAGTCCAATTTAAAAGTAACTTGCATCAAATTCTTTAGGGTTGGAAAAAATAGAGTTTATCAGTGGATTACAAACCTGGTCTGGGGTGGGATTTACAGATATACAATTATGATATAGTTGTAGATAGTTACAGCAATACATACACACACGCAAATAAAGGAGGTGGAAATAAAGAAAAGTACATTTACAAATTACTTAAAAATCGAAGTTATTGGCATTAATTCAAGTGAATTAGAATCCAGTAACTCAACGTCCAGTGATTTCTTTCAGTTAGTTAATCTGGCAGAATTCCTTTTTCTCGAAGCCCAAATGCAAGTGGCATCAGTGAGAGCAATATAATTCATGCAGACTGGGAATTTGTTCACTTCTTTGGCAAAAGACAGGATACTTTCCAGAAATCCAATTTGAAAGATGTTGAGATCAGAGGCATGCTGTAGCTAAGTGTGGAACTGTTTGATTATTATTTTCTCTGATGTTAAAAGCCAACTGAGTAAAGAGGTCACAGATGTAATTAAAGCTATTTTACAATTTCAAAACCTTGAATCATATGGCTGGGGTTCTGAGGTGAGTTACTCTAATAATACATATGATTAAAAACCTGCGTGTGCTGTAGGAGATAAACTTGGAGCCAGTGGAATGATCTCAAGCATGATGAATTTTGTTGGCTTTCTTTCAAATCAAATCTGGCTGTTGAGACATATTATTTGACATCCCATTGGGTGGGTTTGACAAGAATATCTACACATTGCAAGGGCATGACATACCAGGAGGGGAATATGTTGCTTTCGTCCAATGGAGGTTTCTGGGACACATTCTGTAGTTGCTAACAGCCATCTTATGCCCAGTAAGTATCAATTTAAAACAAACAGACTAAAGAATATGGTCCAGGGCTGGATAAACACAGCAGGCCAAGCAGCATCATAGGAGCAGAAAGGCTGACGTTTCGGGCCTAGACCCTTCATCAGAAAAGGG